CACTCTAATATGCTGATTTGCTGCTTAAGAAACATTTCTGATTATCAATTGATAATCAATTATCAATGTTGAAAACAGTTGTGCTGCTTCAGATCTCTTTTTTTGTAAAAATCATTTCCTGATGAACAGAAAGTTCAAAAGAACAGCATTTATTTGAAATAGATATCTTTTCTAACATTCTAAATGTTTTTACTATCACTTTGGATACATTGCACCCTTGCCGAATAACAGTAATAATTTCTTTCAAAAAAAAACGTTGGAATGGTTCCTCAGGAGAAATAAAATTTTATAAAATTTAAATAAGTGAATAAATAAAATGACTCATGTAAAACTGTAATATACTACAGTATATAATTAGTATTATGTAGTATAATACTTAATTTTCGTATTATATCATGCTATATTATATTGATTAAAAACATTTTTTTTTTACATCTTTAAACAAAATATATATATATATATTTTTTACATTTTCAAATATTTTTTTTAATCAAATTCAGACTTATATTGTTCTATTTACATTTCAATGCAAAAATAAAACTAAATATAAATAAGAAATGAAAATATGCTTTAAAGGCATGTTTTTTTCTCCATTTTCTCCTTCTCTTGAGATATGGCATGAATTGTGATCCATGGTTTGGATATATATATATATATATATATATATACACACACACACACACACACACACACACACTGTATATACAGTGTATATACGGTGTAAACTCTGTGTAAACCAGTGTAAACTCTGGTTTAGGTATACATTGAGATACTGAGATCTCCTCTGAAGCTTTAGAGAAGAGTTTACTGGAGTCTTTTTCTCAGTAGAAACCCTCACCTGAGAAGCAGGAGACTTCGGTCTGCATTTAATCGGTAACAGGAATAACTGAGATCTCGTGTGTCTCTGTTTTTCTCCACAGATGTTCAACAGTACGCAGTATCCCTCGTGTCCGTCGGCGCGCTGCATCTTCATTAACTATAACGAGGAGGGTTTGTTCCAGAGGAACCTCTTTAACCTGCAGATCTATAACGTGGTTGCGTTCCTGTGGTGCGTGAACTTCGTCATCGCTCTGGGTCACTGCACGCTCGCCGGAGCCTTCGGCTCTTATTACTGGGCCTTCAGCAAACCAGCAGATATCCCAACATTCCCTCTGATCCAGTCCTTCATGAGAGCGCTGCGGTAAGACACATGAAACTGGAGAAATGTAGGTTATTGGTGGAAAATGCACTGTGGTTCAGTTCTAACCACAAGACAGAGTCTGTCAGAGCTGATCCAGGATCAGTGTGTGACAACATTAAGCTGGGAGTCACTTCAAAACAAATGACTTTCACAATCCGTTTTACGTCTATAATGATACAGAACATTCAGTGGGAAATAAAGCAGTGCAGTACATCATTTATCTGAAGTGTGAATATGAAAGTGCACTGGTCAATTGATCACAGTAAGAGCATAAATGTGTTTTAAGAAATCACTTCATGTCACTGTGGTTTCAGACTCTAGATGGCGCTCATGATTCCAGCTGCATTTATGAGGGAGAGGTTGTGTAGAAATGTGTCTGTGACTGATTTCTTCTGCTCTCTTGATTTCTGTCAGGTATCACGTGGGCTCTCTGGCGTTTTGTGTTGTTTTGTTTCGTTTTGTTTCTTGTTTTTTTGTTTTGTTTTGTTTTGTTTTGTGTTTGTTCCTACCATGGAATAAAGCTTATCTCAAATTTCAGACTTTTTCTCACAAGTATATATTTTACAATTGCAAGTTACAAACTCATATTCACAAATTTACAAAATATAGTTAATGAAATATAAATGTAAAATTTTTATGCGAAATATATTTTTATGTATTATTTTTAAATGTATTTATTTCATAAAGTTCGATTTAAGTGCGATCAAAATCATGCAAAATTTACTGCAAAACATTTTTCATTTTATTAAGTGTTTTTAGTGTATTTATTAATTTGATATGGAGGTGAAATGGGTGTGTTCATTTAAAATGTACCTCAAAGTTTTCTTATTTTCCTTATTTTGTATTATGTAAATGAGTTCATGTACTTTCATTTAGTAATTAGCTATAAAATTGCAAAGATTTTGGTTTTATGCGATAATTTGTATATTTGTTGTGTCCCCCCCCCCATTACTAAATAAAAAATGTAAGTTAATTGCAACTTTTTAACTCACAATTCTTACTTCTCTTCTCTTTTAAATTCTAAGTTAATAAGCTTTCATAGTTTTGGGCAAAAGATGGAAAGATGTTTTGTTTCTTATTGTGTGTCGTCGAGTCACATCTGGTTATAGGAACAGTGTTATGAAGCTCTAAAGAGCAACTCAAGAACCCAATACAGAAATCTGGTTCCTCAAGAGGAGATGTATTGTTTCTGAAGAGGTGGTTTTGTTGTTGTTGTCAGGGTGGTGGTGCTGGATAAAGTGACGGATCTGCTGCTGTTCTTCGGGAAGCTGCTGGTGGTCGGTGGAGTTGGTGAGAGATTAGACACACCTCAGATCTCTGGAGCTTCATGTGTGAGCTGAAGCTGATGACGTCTCGTCTGTTTTCAGGTGTGCTGGCCTTCTTCTTCTTCTCCGGCAGGATTCAGACTCCAGGAACCACGTTTGAAACGGCGGCTCTCAACTACTACTGGATGCCCATCATGGTGAGACTCACATTCACACCTCGCATTACTGATTGACATTTGGTCAAATGTTCAGCAGTCAGAATCTCACTGACATTGTGATGCCGTCATCTTTGCATACTGAATGCTGATTGGTCTTTTCTTACATGTATTTAACTATATGCCACATACAGTGACCCTGTGTTCAGCATTGCAGTTACACACAGAACAACTGATTACCTCTGTTGTTGTATTTCTTAAAATATCAACAAAAATCAAGCTTTTCTACTACACAATGGTATCTGAAACTTTGCATTACAGTAAATGTTTTAATGTTACATTTTTTGCAAAAAACTAATATTTTTATTGTTTTATTTGTTATGAGATATTCACGGTTCAATCAATATCTAAATATACCTTAATCTCTTTCCTTGAAAGTAAAACATCTGGAGGCAAATGATACTTATTAAAATAAAAAATATTTTGCAAACTTAATATTTTAAAATTATTAAATTATTAAATATTTAAAAAAATAAATTTATTCTTATTATTAGTATTATTATTAATTGTTTATTATTATTATTATTATTATTATTATTATTATTATTATTATTATTATTTGTTTTGTGTTTTTTTCATGAAGTTCAAACAAAATAGTAAAAAAAGTCCTTAAAAGTAAAACACCTGCATGCAAAATAGAATAACTTTTATGCTAAATATATATATAAATTTTTTGCAAATACCTAAAAATGCAAAATATCTTTATTTAATTAATTTATTGAATAGGGTTTTTTAAAATAATACATTTAATAATTTATTTTGAGGTTTTCATGGTTCGATCAAAACCTAGATATGCCTCAATCTCTTTCCATAAAAGTTCTTAAAAATAAAACATCTGGATGCCTTACTATAAACGTAATAAAAAATAAATAAAAATTGCATTTAAATAATTACTGTAATGCAAATATATAAATAATATTTTTATGCAAAATTTATGGATTTTTATTTTATTTATTGGTTTGGTTGGTTGGTTGGTTTTTGAGGTGAAATTGGTATTTCCATGAAGTGCAAAATCTAAATAGGTCTCAAACTCTTTCTTTCCCCCCCCATTACTAAATAAAAAATGTAAGTTAATTGCAACTTTTTAACTCACAATTCTTACTTCTCTTCTCTTTTAAATTCTAAGTTAATAAGCTTTCATAGTTTTGGGCAAAAGATGGAAAGATGTTTTGTTTCTTATTGTGTGTCGTCGAGTCACATCTGGTTATAGGAACAGTGTTATGAAGCTCTAAAGAGCAACTCAAGAACCCAATACAGAAATCTGGTTCCTCAAGAGGAGATGTATTGTTTCTGAAGAGGTGGTTTTGTTGTTGTTGTCAGGGTGGTGGTGCTGGATAAAGTGACGGATCTGCTGCTGTTCTTCGGGAAGCTGCTGGTGGTCGGTGGAGTTGGTGAGAGATTAGACACACCTCAGATCTCTGGAGCTTCATGTGTGAGCTGAAGCTGATGACGTCTCGTCTGTTTTCAGGTGTGCTGGCCTTCTTCTTCTTCTCCGGCAGGATTCAGACTCCAGGAACCACGTGTGAAACGGCGGCTCTCAACTACTACTGGATGCCCATCATGGTGAGACTCACATTCACACCTCGCATTACTGATTGACATTTGGTCAAATGTTCAGCAGTCAGAATCTCACTGACATTGTGATGCCGTCATCTTTGCATACTGAATGCTGATTGGTCTTTTCTTACATGTATTTAACTATATGCCACATACAGTGACCCTGTGTTCAGCATTGCAGTTACACACAGAACAACTGATTACCTCTGTTGTTGTATTTCTTAAAATATCAACAAAAATCAAGCTTTTCTACTACACAATGGTATCTGAAACTTTGCATTACAGTAAATGTTTTAATGTTACATTTTTTGCAAAAAACTAATATTTTTATTGTTTTATTTGTTATGAGATATTCACGGTTCAATCAATATCTAAATATACCTTAATCTCTTTCCTTGAAAGTAAAACATCTGGAGGCAAATGATACTTATTAAAATAAAAAATATTTTGCAAACTTAATATTTTAAAATTATTAAATTATTAAATATTTAAAAAAATAAATTTATTCTTATTATTAGTATTATTATTAATTGTTTATTATTATTATTATTATTATTATTATTATTATTATTTGTTTTGTGTTTTTTTCATGAAGTTCAAACAAAATAGTAAAAAAAGTCCTTAAAAGTAAAACACCTGCATGCAAAATAGAATAACTTTTATGCTAAATATATATATAAATTTTTTGCAAATACCTAAAAATGCAAAATATCTTTATTTAATTAATTTATTGAATAGGGTTTTTTAAAATAATACATTTAATAATTTATTTTGAGGTTTTCATGGTTCGATCAAAACCTAGATATGCCTCAATCTCTTTCCATAAAAGTTCTTAAAAATAAAACATCTGGATGCCTTACTATAAACGTAATAAAAAATAAATAAAAATTGCATTTAAATAATTACTGTAATGCAAATATATAAATAATATTTTTATGCAAAATTTATGGATTTTTATTTTATTTATTGGTTTGGTTGGTTGGTTGGTTTTTGAGGTGAAATTGGTATTTCCATGAAGTGCAAAATCTAAATAGGTCTCAAACTCTTTCTTTAAACATCCTTAATACTAAAACATCTGGATCTAAATCAGACCTAATAAAGGAAAATTATATCTTGCATACGATTTTTTTATTTATATCTTTGCATTACAGTACATTTTTAAATGTGATTGTAAAATATGAAAAATGTATATTTTTAGTTGATGTATTTTTATTTTATTTTCATTAAATGCAAAAGATATATATTTTTTTATTAATTTTTAAAAATATATGTATTTCATTTTGAGGTTAAAAATATAAATATGCCTTAAACTCTTTCCTTAAAAGTTCTTAAAAGTAAATCATCTCGATGCAAAATAGACTTTATAAAAAATATATATATATATTTTGTGTAAAAGTAATTTTATTTATATATTTACATTACAGTAAATATTTTAAATGCAATTCTTTATAGAAAATATATTTTTTTATTTCATTCTTTTTTTAAATTTTGAGGTGAAATGGGTGTTTTCAAGTTCAATCAAAATCTCTTTATATACAGTGGGTACGGAAAGTATTCAGACCCCCTTAAATTTTTCACTCTTTGTTATATTGCAGCCATTTGCTAAAATCATTTAAGTTAATTTACACAAATTTTCCCCTTAAAATTCCTTTCACTTCTGTTCCCTGTATTTTGTTGTTTAAATGTGTCCATGCACTTTCATTCAGTAATTAGCGGTACAGTTGCAAAGATTTTGGAACGAGATGTACAGTTGAATCAGGCAGTGGCAAATGTTTCGTTTTATAATGTGTGTGTGTGTGTGTGTGTGACAGACGGTGGTGTTCGGTGCGTATCTGATCGCTCACGGCTTCTTCAGTGTGTATAACATGGGTGTGGACACACTCTTCCTGTGTTTCTGTGAGTATCACACATATATAATGTCACATACAGTCAAGTTACTGTTTGAGGTGTTGTGTGTTTCACTGTGTGTTTTGCTGTTCAGTGGAGGATCTGGAGCGTAATGACGGCAGTCCACAGAAACCATACTTCATGTCCAAGAATCTGATGAAGATCCTCAACAAGAAGAACAAAGCGCCCAAGACGGGCTGATGATGATGAAGATGACGAAGGTTTCTGACTTCATTCTCTCAAACACCGTCACTTTCAGCCGAAGCGTGAAGATCCCAGTGAATCCATGTACAGATGCTTTTAAACATTTTATTTTTTCTTGTTACTGAGAATATCTGAGACTCGATCTCAGAGTTTTGTTTTCAGCAGAACCAAGTGTAACTCATGAATCAAAAGCACCAAAGATTAAGAATCACATCCAAACTGCTGGAAACCGGTTTACTGAAAATGTGCCAGTGATTTTTTATTTTTTTTGTCCAAAGCAAATGCAAGAAACTTGGATGATGTCTGTGAGCCAAAGCTTTTGTTATTAGCCATTATTTTCATTATAGTAATATATTTGGTTTATGCTTTTAATATGCGAGATGTGCACAGTGAAGCTATATTGCACATACAAATGACTGTTTTGGTGCAGATTAATAACTAAAGATCTGTTCTTCCAAGACTGCTGAACGTTTTTAAAGCTCCAAAATATGAGAATATCTGACACTCCATAAGCCTGAATGAAAGCCGCAGTTTTAAATGTTTTTATAGTTGCAGTAGTGCATGCTCTTTTCACATGATTTTCTGTTCAGTTATGTGTGATTTAGTGTAAACTGGAAATAAACAGAGAATATTTATTTAAAGATATATACATTTAATAAAAAATGTTGCATATTACCGAGCGCTTGTTTTGAATACAGACTGATACTGATGGAAAATAACAGCTGGATTTATTCACTGAACTAAAGCAAGGCGTCATTTATTTTGTAGTTTTGTTTAGAAACAGACGGCGAGTGTGTAATAAAATAAACATTATAGCTTGAATGCTTCCTTCAACTCCAAACCAGCAGAACCAGTTTCAGTGGTCATTAAGTCACCCAATTGTTAAAACCGGATCATAATCGCTCAAGGCTGCAGTTATAATATAACTTACACTCTATATAAAAGTAGATGCATTAGTATTATTTTCAGCAAATTACACACAACAGTGAGATGTCTCAAACTATTTATATATATATATATATATATATATATATATATATATAGGCTTACACACACACACACACTCACTCACACGCACAAAATGCAAACATTACACCGATTGTATTAAATGTTTATTTCTCAAGTGCCAGAGAACAGGCCACACCCACTTTAGTTTCTGCCCCATATGCACAATAATTATATGCAATTTATCTACCAAAGGACATTTTATGGCAAAAAAAATACTTGTTACAAACATAATTAACCAGCGTTATGCAAAAAGGAAAGAGACAAACAAAAGCAATTTCAACTAAAGCCACACTCTAAAAAATGTTGGGTTAAATACAACCCAGTGCTGGGTAAAATAGGGACAAACCCAGCAATTGGGTTGTTTTGACCCAGCGGTTGGGTTAAATGTTAAACACAACCTTCTGGGTAGTAACCCAACCACTGGGTCCAAACAACCCAATTGCTGGGTTTGTCCCTATTTTACCCAGCACTGGCTTGTATTTAACCCAGCATTTTTTAGAGTGCACCCAAAATCATCCAGAATCAACGGCTTCTGAGCATAAACCCCGCCCACTTTATGCACAGCAGCTGTCAATCAACACGACCCCTGCTGTGACATTATACAAGTGGGCGTGGTCACAGGAGGTCCAAACCGGCCAATCACTTTGCAGAGAGAGGAAATCCACAGAAATGTTCTTGTTCACAGGACATTTGTTACATTGACATACAGTTAAAACCGACGGAATTACAAACCATCACCTTTCGGCTGTCAATCAAACGTCACAGCCAATGACAGAAAGACTCTTAAAAACATCATGTACAATATCCATATATACACACATATATACACGCTCACAACACTCGCTCCTGTGAGAACTCTGAAGGGTGTGTGAAACTGAAACTCACTTTTTTAAATTGTTCTAACATTCCTATTTATAATCTTTCAGGACATGACAACAATATGATCTTCACTGAATGCATAATGAACTTCACTCATTACCTGGATGTGTGTGAATCAGGTATTGTGTGTCTGCTTTACACAAACACACAGCAGATAAAACTGTTGTGGAAACACTTCCTGAACAGACCTGACTGAAGCTCGTCCTGATCTGAACGTCTAAACCAGCACTCGCCTCAGCGTCTGATCACCATTAGCTTATGACTAGCGTATCTTTAGGACGTTCCTTTAAACTAAATCTCACAGAAAACATAGTAAATAAAGTGTGGATCTCACGAAAGCATATTAAGCTCATATTTCACTCCAAACCAAAAACAAAAGAAATGAACTGCCTTTTTTTTTTGCATTGTGACATTTTTAGGACAATTAACCTTTTTAATTCTTAAACTCTTATTTCAGTAATCTTTCTGAATGTCACATTTGTCAGTCATTTTCACAATATGATTTCTATGCTGATAATTTCAGCATAATTAAAAGGCAGTACATGCTAAAAGTACGCCCATTTTACGACCTTTGCAAATTTTTAAAACCATCATTTTATACATTATCATTATCAAAAATTCTCACTGCTATGAAAATAACACACACACGCATATTTTGCGTCATAGCAATGAGACATATACATATATGTATATGCATTCTTATTAGATTTTCACATCTTCAGTGTTATAGATATATATATATACACATATACACACAAATATACACACATGCATATATATATATATATATGTATGTATGTATATACGTGTGTGTGTGTGTATATATATATATATATATATATATATATATATACAGTGCCTTGTGAAAGTATTCATACCCCTTCATTTATTCCCTTCTGCTTTAAATTACTTTTTTTCCACATCAATCTACACGCCATACACCATAACAGGTTTTTAACATCTTTGCAAATTTATATATAAAAAAAAATTATCAACATAAAATGAGAAAAAAAAAGAAGGGATATGAATACTTTCGCAAAGCACTGTATATATATATTAGTTCTGTCAGGCGATTAATCGTGATTAATCGCATCCAAAATAAAAGTTGTTTGTTTACATAATATATATTTGTGTACTGTGTATATTTATTATGTATATATAAATACACATACATACAGTATATATTTAGAAAATATTTGCATGTATATACTTTTATATATTTATATTCTTATATTATATATATTTAATATATAAACATAACATTTTTCTTAAATATATACATGCGTTTGTATTTATATATACATAATAAATATACACAGTACACACACATATTATGTAAACAAAAACTTATTTTGGATGCGATTAATAATTTGACGGCACTAATATATATATATATATGATTATTGTGCTTTAAAATTGCAAAGGTCCTAAAATAAGAATAATAAGCTTAATAATAGTTTCTTTTGATTTTGGAATGAAATGTGACCAGGACATGATTCATGAGATTCACCCTTTTATTACACAAGTATGATATTGACTTGTGTTTTAATTGCTCAGGCAGATTTAAGGATCTGAATAAGTGAAACGTCCCTCATCGTGTGCAGTGAAGATCGTCCAAACGCAGTGACATGGCCTTAAAACACTTTCAGGAGTAATGAAATAAATCTGTGTTATCGGTCTCTCATTTCAGAAATTCTTTGGCATGAAAATGAAAAGCCACAGAAATTTGTGAGCATAAAATATGGTGAATCTCATGAAACATGTCTGGGTAACATTTCACCCCAAAAAAGAAAATACAATATTAATATATTGTGATATTTTTTACCATGACTTAAATACTTAAACATTTCCTCCTCGCAATTACTATTACTGTAATACAACAAAAATGTATGTTGTTATAGTAATAAGAGAGACTAGGACATCTCAACTTATGGAAATAAGAATTTTGGGAATAAATGCGTTTAAATGTCAAGAAAATAATTCCAGAAAGAAGTTTCCATTTCAGTTTCAAACAACTTTCAGTTTTATTTATAGTAATTTTTTCATTCCATTTCTTAATTTTATGGCTATTTTTATAACTATTCAAATTGTATGCATTCATTGCATTGTGACATTCTTTTCATGACAATTAATTAGTTACGACACTTCATTAAAGCAATGAGAATTTGACATTAAATGCGTTTAATCATTCTGAAAATAATTTTAGAATGCAGGTCCATTGAGAGTAGTTTCAGGGTCGAAAAAAACCCAAAAACCTTTATGCACAATAATTTCTCATTGAGTTTGTATTGATTTTGATGTGAAATATGCTGTGTTTTGCGAGCTGCTTCATCAGCTCCTGTAGTGTTTAATCATTAATACTGTCTCTCTCAACACTGATGTGTGTGTGAGTGCGTGTGTGTGTGTGTATATGAGACACAGACAGCTGATCTTGTCGCTTCAATCGCAGGCGTCACACGCTCAGCATCCAGAAGAAGAAGATGATGGCCAGGAAGAGGAAGAGCGAGTCCTGCCAGTTGTTGCCGTTGTTAGGGTTGCCGTCGGCTTGATGATCTCCTCCGTAATGAGGAAAATACACATACATACAGTATATATTTAGAAAATATTTGCATGTATATACTTTTATATATTTATATTCTTATATTATATATATTTAATATATAAACATAACATTTTTCTTAAATATATACATGCGTTTGTATTTATATATACATAATAAATATACACAGTACACACACATATTATGTAAACAAAAACTTATTTTGGATGCGATTAATAATTTGACGGCACTAATATATATATATATATGATTATTGTGCTTTAAAATTGCAAAGGTCCTAAAATAAGAATAATAAGCTTAATAATAGTTTCTTTTGATTTTGGAATGAAATGTGACCAGGACATGATTCATGAGATTCACCCTTTTATTACACAAGTATGATATTGACTTGTGTTTTAATTGCTCAGGCAGATTTAAGGATCTGAATAAGTGAAACGTCCCTCATCGTGTGCAGTGAAGATCGTCCAAACGCAGTGACATGGCCTTAAAACACTTTCAGGAGTAATGAAATAAATCTGTGTTATCGGTCTCTCATTTCAGAAATTCTTTGGCATGAAAATGAAAAGCCACAGAAATTTGTGAGCATAAAATATGGTGAATCTCATGAAACATGTCTGGGTAACATTTCACCCCAAAAAAGAAAATACAATATTAATATATTGTGATATTTTTTACCATGACTTAAATACTTAAACATTTCCTCCTCGCAATTACTATTACTGTAATACAACAAAAATGTATGTTGTTATAGTAATAAGAGAGACTAGGACATCTCAACTTATGGAAATAAGAATTTTGGGAATAAATGCGTTTAAATGTCAAGAAAATAATTCCAGAAAGAAGTTTCCATTTCAGTTTCAAACAACTTTCAGTTTTATTTATAGTAATTTTTTCATTCCATTTCTTAATTTTATGGCTATTTTTATAACTATTCAAATTGTATGCATTCATTGCATTGTGACATTCTTTTCATGACAATTAATTAGTTACGACACTTCATTAAAGCAATGAGAATTTGACATTAAATGCGTTTAATCATTCTGAAAATAATTTTAGAATGCAGGTCCATTGAGAGTAGTTTCAGGGTCGAAAAAAACCCAAAAACCTTTATGCACAATAATTTCTCATTGAGTTTGTATTGATTTTGATGTGAAATATGCTGTGTTTTGCGAGCTGCTTCATCAGCTCCTGTAGTGTTTAATCATTAATACTGTCTCTCTCAACACTGATGTGTGTGTGAGTGCGTGTGTGTGTGTGTATATGAGACACAGACAGCTGATCTTGTCGCTTCAATCGCAGGCGTCACACGCTCAGCATCCAGAAGAAGAAGATGATGGCCAGGAAGAGGAAGAGCGAGTCCTGCCAGTTGTTGCCGTTGTTAGGGTTGCCGTCGGCTTGATGATCTCCTCCGTAATGAGGATCTGATGAGATCAAGTCACGGCTTTAAACACGAACATTCATAAGACCTGACATGATCTTAACGCCTGAGCATTTGAATAATGAAATATTAATAGTGAGCATCTCATAAAGACAAACAGCAGCACTGACCTCGTCTTTGAAAAGGATCGTTGGTGTTAAAGACTGTGGTGAAAAAACCAAACGGAAAAGCCCCGATTCCAAAAGACATGTGAAACCCTGTGTCACCAAGACCCTGAAACACCTGCGGACAGATATGATGAATATCACATTCATAATCACAGCATAATGATGCAGCAGATGAAGTGTTGTTTATAAGCACAGACACTCACTCCTCTGCTCTCTGGTTCTGTCCTTTGACCCTGAGGTCGTGGTGGTGTTTTCAATCTGTAGCACGCAGACACAAATTAGACATTTCTCATCATTTTAAAATAAGTAAAACCATCAAGTTGAAGATACAATTGTAAGTCTTCATTGCTCCTTGCAGCTTCCTATCAAAAAAGTTTGATTGTGTAACATTTGAAAATGACATAACTATGACAACCATAAATACTAATATAGTCATTTTAACGCTTGAGTATAAAATAAAAATATTATTTTTCTTAAATGCCTAATGTTATATTTCACAGTAAAATATTCCAATAGTTCTACTTATTTTGGTTTTATTTATTTTTTCATATTTTTATTGAATAATAATAAAACACATTATATTTACACATTACACATAAATTGTCATATTGACAATCACAAACTAAGATATAATCACAAATTTTGGCCAAATTGTGCATATGAGTGTTATTATAGTATTATATACTATTGTAGTTTTTAATAATATTTTAAATGGCTTTTATTTGAATATTTTTCGCTTTTCAATTTTAATATTACTTTTTAGGTGTAATTCATATTTTGCTCAGTTTTATTTTTTATTTCCATTTAGTCATTTTAATGCTTCAACAGTTCATTGCCAAGAGAACATTTGTAATTTTCATTTAGTTTAATTTTTAATATTGTTATTTATATATATATATATATATATTAGAGAGTGTGTGTGAGAGACAGCACACACAAGTAACTCACAGAAATTTATAGATGCATACTGCGGTAGAAAAAAAAAAAAGAAGATATTTACAAAATATGATTTAGGTAAGCAACATTATACGGCCATGATGTTCCCCCCGAATATCAATATCAACATGATTGCAATGTGACACTGATTTTATACAATAGTATTTCAATTAACAAGAAGTTAAAATTAAGTGACTTAGACTTTAGACAAAAATATTGACTGTTTTTGCTCAATTTCTCTGACGAAAATAGTTCCGATCAAAGCCAGAGCAGAACTGTTGTCTCTGAGCAACACACAGTGGTGTTTTGTTACTGAATGAATCGAGTGAGTCAATGATTCAGTGGCTCATTCATAAGGACAGTCACTTGCCTCATTTCTGAATGAATCGGCCATTTGAATGAATCGGTTGAATGAATGAATAAATTACTCACTCATTAAAACAGACATTTGCTGCCACCTACTGGTGGTTTAGTCATATTTAAAAGTATCATTGCATTTTTTCAACATTTATTTGTACTTTAAAAAATATGTAAAACATGAATCTTATAAAATTAGTTATGCATTTGAAATTTTGCTGTGAAAATGCATTTATGGCACCTCAGTTTCATCAAACTGTCTGTAAATGCATCTAATGCCACTTCAGACGCAGCTTCTGTTTGCTCAGCAGTGCAAAGATAGAGTTTAACTAATTTTATTTGAATGGTAACAACTCTACAGTTTCTTATTATTCTAACTGAATTAATTGAAACAAAGTAAGAATTTGATGTGAAAGATGATAAGGTTAGGGGGGAAAAAATGACAATTTTTAAACATAGTGGGAAATGACATCTGTTTTGTTACATACAGCAACTCATCTTAAGTTAACTATTTCTTCCTCTTTCCAGTCACAGAGCACTTTATTTTGAGAGTTGTTTAAGTGAGAGAAAATCTGTAACTTAGTCCAGATTGGGGGAATTGAAATGTTTAATAATTTCTTTTATTATGTAAATAATTTTTGCATTGAAATTTGCATAGATTTTTGTTTGTGTATGCTGTCAATTATAGTTCTAAGAAAGAAAATCGGAATAGGCAAAAATCGGTATCGGCAGGTCATACTTCCACAAAAATGGAAATCGGCCAAGAAAATTGCAATCCGTGCATTTCTAATATATATATATATATATATTAGGGCTGTGCGATATTGAAGAAAAATGCGGTAACTCATTAAACAAATCAAGAGCTCCTGCAAAACCACAACAAATTCCTTGTGTTTGAGCACACTTAAGTGGTGAACAAAGCTCATTCTGATTCTAATATAACTAGCATACATGTTTCACTTTTTGTAAGAAAGCACCCCTACAACAACTTCTGAAAGTGAACGGTAGTGTTTTACTCGAGCATTACATAAAAATGTCATTGTGACGAGAGGGGCGGGGCCAAGAGCCGTAGGAACAGAGCGAGGCCGGTGGAGTAAAAGCTAATGCACGACACCTGCGCCACTCACCGGTCTCGAGTCCCACGGAGGAGCTCCGGAAGGATAAAAGGAGGAGTGACGACAGTGTTGGACGAGAGAGGACCAGGCCTGGATTTTATTTTGTGTTTTGTGTGTGGCAGTCGTCCTCGAGGGGCTGCCACTTTACTTTCGTTTTGGTGTTTGCTTATTTTATTAAAGTTTTGTTTAACTGTTTGCCGGGTTCCCGCCTCCTCCTTCCCGTGACTACAAACGTTTGTTACATTGGTGCCGAAACCCGGGAGGAAGGAGGGACACGCTGCCAGAAATCCCTCGCCGCTGTGGTGAATCCGCGGTGCCATCGAGCATGGCGGAGCAGTCTGCCGCCATGGAGGCTCGAGGCAGTGGGCTGGAGTGAGTTGCGGGGGTGGCGGACGAACTCGCTGCCGGCCGCCTGGGTTTCTGGAGGTACGGCTGCCGTCCGTGAGGGAGCGGAGGAGTCGCCGCCGTTCGCCTGAAGCCGGAGCCTGCTGCCATTCGCCATGATGGGGAGGAGCAGGGAACGGGGGACTCCTGCCGGCTGCCCGAACCCGGAGGAGCCGTCGCCGTCCACCGGGCGGCGGAGGAGTGTCGGGCCGTCCGCCGAGGGCTGTCCAGTGCCGCCGCCTGGCATCGCGGAAGAGCTTACCCAGCTGGTGGAGGGCCGAGCGGCACTGTGTCTGGGAACCGGAACAAGTTTTTTTTTTTTCTTTCACTCTCTCTCATCTCTATCTCTTCTCATCCTTCCGTCTCCTTTTCTCTCGCCTCGTCTGTCTGTCCTTACCCCCAGCTACGCCGCAGCCGCCGTGATCGGCTCCCCCGGAGGGGGGAGGGGGGGGGAGTAGAGTGCAGTCTCGTGAGTACCCCCCGGCCTGCGAGGGGGGTATGTGACGAGAGGGGCGGGGCCGAGAGCCGTGGGAATGGAGCGAGGCCGTTGGAGTAAATGCTAATGCACGACACCTGCGCCACTCACCAGTCTCGAGTCTCACGGAGGAGCTCCGGAAGGATAAAAGGAGGAGTGACGACAGTGTTGGACGAGAGAGGACCAGGCCTGGACTTTATTTTGTGTTTTGTGTGCGGCAGTCGTCCGCGAGGGGCTGCCACTTTACTTTCGTTTTGGTGTTTGCTTATTTTATTAAAGTTTTGTTTAACTGTTCGCCGGTACCCGCCTCCTTCCCGTGACTACAAACGTTTGTTACATTGGTGCAGAAACCCGGGAGGAAGGAGGGACACGCTGCCAGAGATCCCTCGCCGCTGTGGTGAATCCGCGGTGCCATCGAGCATGACAGAGCAGTCTGCCGCAATGGAGGCTCGAGGCGGTGGGCTGGAGTGAGTTGCGGGGGTGGCGGAAGAACTCGCTGCTGGCCGTCTGGGTTTCTGGAGGTACGGCTGCCATCCGTGAGGGAGCGGAGGAGTCGCCGCCGTTCGCCTGAAGCCGGAGCCTGCTGCCATTCGCCATGATGGGGAGGAGCAGGGAACGGGGGACTCCTGCCGGCTGCCCGAACCCGGAGGAGCCGTCGCCGTCCACCGGGCGGCGGAGGAGTGTCGGGCCGTCCGCCGAGGGCTATCCAGTGCCGCCGCCTAGCAACGCGGAAAAGCTTACCCAGCTGGTGGAGGGCCGAGCGGCACTGTGTCTGGGAACCGGAAGAAGTTTTTTTTTTTTTCCTCTCTCTCGTCTCTATCTCTTCTCATCCTTCCGTCTCATTTTCTCTCGCCTCGTCTGTCTGTCCTTACCCCCAGGTACGCCACGGCCGCGAGAGGACCAGGCCTGGACTTTATTTTGTGTTTTGTGTGCGGCAGTCTTCCGTGAGGGGCTGCCACTTTACTTTCGTTTTGGTGTTTGTTTATTTTATTAAAGTTTTGTTTAACTGTTCGCCGGTTCCCGTGACTACAAACGTTTGTTACAGTCATTTTAACATTAGTTAGGAACTGAATAATAAAAAGGAAAAATACAACTGCTTAGTGTTTACTCTATGAATTCAATATGCACTGATTCTTATTTAAGCTACAAAAGTTATTTAGGTAAGAGCAGTGAGTGATTTTCTCTTTGTCTTTTGTTCATGGCCCCAAATATTGCAAGCCGTAGCGATATGCATATTGCGATATGTACATTTGCGATATTTCGATAATTTCTATATATCGCACAGCACTAATATATATATATATATATATATATCCCAAATAAAAGAAAAAAAAAACAAATATCTGTTAAAAACCCAATTTTCTGTTTTCATGGAGTACTTGGACGACCTACTATCTGCCAGAGAAATAATGACACACTGTGAGTGACCCACAATGCAATGCACTTCCATTTACAGTGTGACAAATTATGATAAAAAAAAAAAATCTGTTACGTGTCTTATTTTATTGGGAGAGCCAAAATAATTGTACACAAATATCAAATATGGATTGACATGCTAAAATAAATAAAATGAAATAAAATAAAATAACCTCCAATCTTGTATGTATTGTGTGACAGCAGTACCTGGGGTCTTCCTGGCTGGTGCTGCCGCGGCCGTACAGAGGAATGACTTTATCTCGACTGATTCCTGCTTTACACACGGGACACTGCTGTGTGCTGGGACGCGTCTCCAGCCACTGAAACACACGGGACAGCAGCAGATAGTTCCATGTTTTTGAAAGAGTTCTCTCATGGCCACCAAGGCTGCATTTATTTAATCAAAAATACAGTAAAAACGGAAATATTGTGAAATATTATTGCAATATAAAATAACTGTTTACTATGTGAATATATATTAAAAAGTAATTTATTTCTGTGATCAAAGCTGAATTTTCAGCATCATTACTCCAGTCTTCAGTGTCACATGATCTTCAGAAATCATTCTAATATGCTGATTTGCTGCTCAAGAAAAAAATTCTGATTATTATTAATGTTGAAAACAGTTGAGCTGCTTCATATTTTGTGGAAACTGTGATACATTTTATTTCTCAGAATTCTCTGATGAATATAACGTTCAAAAGAACATCTTTTATTTGTAATAAAATAACTTTTGAAACATTATAAATGTCTTTGTTACTTTTAATCAATTGAATGCATCCTTGCTAATTTCTTTATACCTTATTTCTTTGACAGATTATACAAGTATAAGAGTTCTCCAGTTTTCTACTCTACATTACAATCATTTAATATCTGATTTTACATGTAAGCATGTAATCACACTGTGCACGAACAGCTAAAAAATAATTTATAATGTCATTCATGATATTAGACACTCAGATACTGACCTGATGAAGACACGGCCAACTGCACGAGGAGCAGACGAACCAGGAAAAAGAGAAAGAGGGGTAAAAACTAGGTAAATAAATGAATAATTTCTGTTTTTAAAATAACCAATAGAATTCATGGTAAGAAAACTCTTTCAGGAGCATCTGGCAAAATACATCCATCCATCCCATCTGCATAAATTTTTCTGCATATTTCTCAGAAATTCTTCAGCGTGATAATTAAATACAGAAAGTTGTGAACATGAAATATGGTGAATCTTATGAATCCTGCAGAGAACATGTCTAAAAAATATTCACCACAAAAGAAGATACATTAAGAAATTTATTAAAAAATTATAAAAAATTTTTTTTAGATATATTATGACTTCATTCACTGTGATATTTTTCCATGGCAATTAATTACATTTCCCTCATTCCCGTTCTTATTGCGGTAATGTCAAAAATATTGATATATTATCACATTTATAAAAGAGAATAGAAATACAACTCGTAGTTAATAATTTATGGGATAAATGTTTGTAATCATCATGAACATACTTTCATTGATGGTTCACTGAAATAATTTTCAGGTTAAAAAAAACAAACATTTTATGTCATTTTAGCAACTTAGGTTTACTTTATAATTTTTATAACACACACCTTTGTAGAAAAATCATGTTCAAATGAGAGTAACAAAATATGATCATCAGGCCTCTGATGAATGTTTATTTGTTCATCTCTCAATCATCCTTGTATTGCATTGCATTAGGCCTATATGTTTTATGCCATTTCTCATTGCATTGATGTTGATTTTGAGCTGAAATAGACCATGTTTTATTGAGATTCACTCCATACCTCAGAGTAAACGTTCAAAACTTTCATGTTAGGTGTACAGGTCATGTCAGCCTATTTAAGTGTATAAAACATAATTAATTCGAAACTAATATTATATAAGATAAGACAGGAAGCAGTTGTGCTGCTGATCCTGACGGGTTTGTTGCACAAATACTAAATACCTAACAGACGCTTGTCATGCACACAATCACAAACACAGTCCAAAACATCTGCACATCTATAAACATGAATAAATGCACACACACACACGCACACGCACACTCACACTCACACTCACAGAGTCCAAAACATCTGCACATCTATAAAACAAACACACGTTTGACATGAATAAATGCACGCACACACACACACACACACACACACACAGTCCAAAACATCAAAACAGGTACACACACACACACACTCTCACACGCACACACACATAGTCCAAAACATCAAAACAGGTACACACACACTCTCACACACACAGTCCAAAACATCTGCACATCTATAAAACAAACACACGTTTGACATTAATAAATGCGCGCGCACACACACACACACACAGGCTCAGCGTGTGTAAATCTATTCTTACTCCTCCATTACGGCCTCAATCCTTCAGTAGAGTCTAATCTCTCATTAACCCCATAATCTCACGCTGATTCTACACAAAACACACATTCTGCTGTAACTGTCTCGCAAAAAACAACCTGCTTTAATCGAATTAACTCATCAGACACACATGCAGACTTTTACATTAGTTTGGGACACGTCTTTGCAGATCATTCTGATTTCTATCGGTTCAAAACTTTGCTGACAAACCTGTTGCACGCAGTCTGCTTCATCTGATCGATAGTTTAGACTTTTTAGCGAGTAAAAGGCCTTTTATTATCCTTATCATTTATTAGGAAAAGCATGTTCAAATGTATCAAATATGATCATCAGACTTTTGAGGAATATGTATTTGTTCATCCCTCAATTATCATTGTATTATATGGTTTAATCATAAAACTAGGCATTTAAATATCTTACTAAGAAATATTATTGGAGATATAAAGTGAAAACTGACATGTTATGCAAGTATCTATCTGCTATACCGTTATAAAGAGCTCACTGATTTACATTACAAGCTATCAAGACTTCTTACATTGTTTGTCCATATAAATATCAGCATCTGCATCTTGCTCAGTTTGGGCCTCTGAAGGTAGAGGTATTTTTTTCTCCATATTCTCACTATATCATCATACTACATGATGAGCCATTAACGCCTGAGGTACTGTACCAAATATTTACAAAATATAAAATGCATATGCAAATGTTGATTAAGAGTTTAATAAAATGTTCCAAAACAGCACAATAAAACACTCCTCCTGTCAACCATCTCAAGCTGTCCCAACAAAAATGCACTATTTACACCAAAATACCACACCATACCCAAACAAAGAAATACTCTGATGATGCAATGTAACACACAATATGTTACTACTGTAAAATAATTGAAAATTAACGCAGGAGCTTGTTCAGAATATTCGGAGAATATTTACTATAGCAACAAATAACTGAAGTAATGCAAAAAGTACCGTGTTCAGTAATCCCATGGTACTATACCATAATCACACACCCAAGAACATTATGATATTATCAGCGTTGTACACTATGGTGTATTTATATTTAGTACTTGGACGTAAAAGTCTATATACATACATATATACATACATACACATATACACACACACACACACACACACACACACACACACACACACACACATACATATATATATATATATATACACACACACATACATACATACATACATATACATACACATACATTCACATACATATATATACACATACATACATATACATATATATACACACACATACATACACACATACATACACATACATATATATACACACACATACATACATATATATACACACACATACATACATACACACATACATATACATATATATACACACACATACACATACATATATAAACACACACATACATACACATACATATATATACACACACATACATATATATATATATACACACACATACACATACATATATAAACACACACATACATACACATACATACATACATACATACATACATACATACATAACTCTAGAAACAGTAACTGAAGTAACTATTGTATTATTATGGTTATCATGGTGAATTAAGGGTTGAAAATGAAACAGATTCTTCCCTGTCAACATGTCAAGCTGTCAATCAATTATTTTTTGTTTTTCTCTGAACTGTTGTGCTTGTATTGCTGCAGTTTAACGTGAGTAAATAACAAATACCAGACGAAACTAGCCTTGGTTACTGTGGCAAAGGGTCTTTCTCGTGTCAAACTGTCACGCTGTGTGTGTTTTAATGCTCAGCACTCACTCATACTGTTATGATACTGGAGGCGATCGATTATCGATAGTTTGTACCAGAACAGATGTCCGCAGAGGCTGATGACCGCGTCTCGCGCGGTGTCCAGGCAGATGTTGCACTCGAAGGTGGCTCTATCTCTGTCCCGCTCGCCTTCCGCGCCTCCCCCCGACCCTGCTCCGCCTCCGCTGCCCGGGACTCCCGCTCCTCTGGCGGCCGCGCCGTCACTCGAGCTCCGCTGCTGCTCTGCGGCCTCCATCCTCTCACGCTCGCACTCCACTGCGCGTACTCTCCTTCGTTGCGTAGCGCTCTCGCGCGTACGTGACGCCTCGCTAGTCACCAGCCCCTCCCACTCCGAGAGAGCACTTCCGCTTTTGCGTCGGGCGGGCGGGGTTTGAGCGAGTGTTGTTGTAAACACGTGACTAAATAGGTAATAGTAATAGTGCAACAATATTTTAAAGTCACCATGAAATCAAAATTTAAAATTCTTATTTTTTTAATGGAATACTGTAGTGTTTATTATAAATAATTTATCCGTGCATTTCATTATGTTTTTTTAAATTCACGTGCCCTCTTAATCTTTATTCAAAAATGTTAACCTCCCCTCCCCCTCAAAACGATTCATCTTCTCTTCCGGTCACGAGCTATGGCGCAAGGGCGGAGCTAGTGACATGAGGGGTTAACGCTGGGATAAAAGACAGGTGGAAAAGCTGAAGCTGATGCTTCACTTTATAGCACTGACACCAGTCATGAGGGAGTTACCCCTAAACATTGAAAAGATATTAGGATATTACGACAACATTACTCTTAAGACATTGCACTAACTTGTTGTCCCTTTTTTACAGGATTCCCCTGAACAATTCTTACTTTGTATTTATTTATTCATTTGTTTACTTGATTTTCTGTTAGCTGTTTTATTTTATTTTGGTATCACTTTATTTATATCATAATTGTTTTTTATGTCCTTTATCTATGTCCTTTATCTATGTCCTTTGTTATATTTCTTGATGTTATGCTGTATTGTATTTACATTTGATATATCATTGGTTAATTAAAAAAAGTATTAATAGTTTAATTAGTTAATTAGTTAATTAGTTTAGAGCATTTATGAAAGAAAGAATAGTTTCCTTTATCATTTTATTTAATTTACCGAATCCACCCTTGGTTGGTTCGTCTGCCATCGCCGGTCCCAAGCCCGGATAAAGGAGGAGGGTTGGGCGTGGGGTTAGCAACCCCACCCCATAAAAAACCCCTACTGCTACAGAAACGATAAGAGATCAACAGCATAATCAATTAATTGATTGCGGAGAAGACGGCCATAGTCCTATGACGGTGGCGGATCAAAGCCCTCAAGTGGCCGTCCAACGCCCGATGTCCAGCTGCATCTTCCACGTGAAGGGAATCACCAGAATTGGAACATGGAATGTACATGGGTCGCGGTCAACTGGTCAGCGACGAGAAAATAATACTCTACTCGGGCCACGACTCCGACCACGCGCGAGGCGTCGGACTTGTCCTCTTGAAGAAAGAGGCGGCGGCGCTCCTCAGCTGGAAACCGATCTCCGACCGGCTCATCTCGGCGCACCTTCATACACGGCATGTAAAAATCACCGTCATTCAAGCCTACGCGCCCATCGAGGATGCCGTCAATGTCAGCAAAGACGCCTTTTACGACCAACTCCAACACGAATTGGACTCCACCCCGCGTCACGACCTCGTGATGATGCTCGGCAACCTGAACGGCCAAATTGGTGACTCTCGACGTGGATTTGAGCGAACCATCTGCCCCCATGGATCGGCGCGCAAGACGAATGACAATGGCGAGCGGTTCATATCCCTCTGCACTGCGAATGCACTCGCAGTCGACAACACCTACTTCGCTCACCAAATGATCCACAAACGCACGTGGCGGTCGCCGGACGGAAGTACCTTGAACGACTACGTGTGTATCACGGGGCAATGGCGATCGTCGCTTTTAGACATCAGAGCTTTCCGCGGTGCAGACATCGGTTCCAACCATAACCTCGTGGTGGCCAAATGTCAGCTGTGGATCAAGCGCGTGCCAACCCAACCTCGCCGGCCGCGTCCATTCGACCTCGCGAAACTCAAGGATCTGAACATGGCTACCCAATTCCAGATCGAGCTACGAAACCGTTTCGAGGCCCTCGCCGATCTAACAGACATTGAGCAACACTGGACGGGTATTCAAGAAGCATTTGTAGCGAGAGCGGACTTGACCGTCGGCCGGCGCCGTGGGATGTACAGGGAGTGATGGATCCTAGGACGAACATGGATGCTGGTCGACGAGCAGCGTGACGCCAAGCGGGTCCGCGACCAAGCATCTTCCGAAGATGTCCGAGCCATGGCTGATGCAGCGTATCGCGACTTCGATCGGTGAGTCAAGTGAAGCTGCCGCCGCGACAAGAGAGAGTGGATTGAAAAGAAAGGCAATGAAGCGCAAAAAGCCACCGCCTGGAACGACATGAAGACATGGTACAGAATCGTGCACGAGCTGACAGGATCCAAGATGGGCCAGGGAGCCCCCATCAAAGACAAAAACGGCAAGCCCCTGCTAACGAGGGGCGAACAAGAGAGGCGATGGGTCGAACATTTCAAGGAAACGCTCAACCAGCCGCTCCTGCCGACCACCTTCCCAGATGACCTGCTGACACCAGCGGACGACTTACACGTCGAGGTAGGGCCGATCACCATGGCGGAGACGACGACGGTGATACGGGCGCTCAAAAACGGCAAAGCCATGGGGTTGACGAAATCGCCCCCGGGATGGTCAAGTACGGAGGCCAAGACCCAGCCAGGGAACTCACGTGCTTACTGAACACCTGTTGGGCGCGAGTCACAGTCCCCGACACATGGTGAAGAGGAGTCATCGTCCGCCTTCCAAAGAAGGGCAACCTCTCGGATTGCAACAACTGGCGAGGAATCCCCCTGCTGTTCGTGCCTGGAAAAGTGCTCTGCCTGGTCCTCCTACGAAGTCTGCACCCGGCCGTCAACGTGCGGCTCCGCGAAGAGCAAGGCAGATTCCGCGCTGGACAGTCCTGAGGCAAACAGATATTCGTCCTACGAACAATTATTGAGCAGAGGCTGGAGTATCAACAGTGGGTGTTGATAAACTTCATTGACTTTACCAAGGCCTTCAACACCGCTCACTGCGAGACACTCTGGAAGATCGCCCGAGTGTATGGCATCCTGTGCCAGTTCACCGACCTGTTCCACTACCTCTACCGCGCCTCGAGCTGCTGCGTTCGGACCGAAAACAGCATTACCGACTTCTTCCCCATCGAGACTGTGGTCAGGCAAGGCTGTGTCCTGTCTCCATTCTTGTTCCTATTGGCGCTGGACTTTGTCCTCCGCCAGTCCGTCGACCAACAAACAAACGGTCTCCCGTGGGGACAGATGGAGCAGCTGGCGGACTTGGACTTTGCCGACGACATCGCGTTGCTGGCTCCCACCCAAACCGGCTTGGCGAACATGACGACGGCCTAGGAGCAATGATCGTGTTCCGAATCAGCAGCTCAAAAACTAAAATCATGCGCATCGGATGTGCCCACGGACGAGTACCCATAACCATCGGCGAACAGTGAATCAAAGAGGTTGATCGATTTACCTACCTGGGCAACATGGACCATGACGTTGTCTACTGTATTCAATCGCCGCAGCTGATCAAGCACGATGGAGATCACTTGTCGCCCAATATAATAGATTGTGTAGTTGTCTATAGCTCTGCATCATGCTTGAAAAATTGGTCTCTATTTGCACTTTGAATATAGAGAGAGCACTTATTGTTCGCACTTAATACGACTAAGAACTGTTGTTTATTTTTATGAGTGTTTATTTTCATGCTGAGTTTGTGAAAAGGAGTTCAGTTAGGAGGTCAAACGTTCTAGATGCTCATAATTCATGTACAGTACTAAGGTCTGAAGAGACTCACATGAAACCATACAGGAGAGAAGCCAGTCAGTTGAGCAAAACCTTTTACAGTGCTTGAGTGTGGTTTTTACTGCATATGATAATTCATACTCAGAAAGTAGAACTGAAATGAAATTTATTACAAGATGATTAAATTAATTTTTCCAGTCATGTATTTGGTCATTAAGAATTTTTTAAAAAATTTGTAAAAATATTGTGTCTTGAGTTAAGTGTCGGCATTAATGATAATCAAACAACAAAAGACTCTTGACAGAATGGCATTTAGCTTTTATAAGAATTTATATAGTGTAAATTGTTCCCTACCATTACATTCACATCTATGAAGCCAATAAATAAATTACTACTAAGAAAGAACACATATTTCTTCATTGGTCTAGTCACTTGATTCTACTCTCAAAATGCACCAGATTTATGCATTTTAATTTAAAATGAACAAAATTTTCACGGTCTCACAAAATCCTGTGGGGACACTGGGAATGTAGAGGAAACACTGTAGGATTGGCTGTCTCAATGTGTGTGTGTATGCCAGTTCACCTTACTATTTGCGTGTGGACCATGTATGGCATTAAATACATTTCTCCAGTAAAGCATAATGATTAAGGGGGCCTCACACAAAGAGCAGCCTAGGGGCCCCTGACCACCTTAAATGATGATGCTTTAAACATGCTTGGCTTAGACGTTTCCAATCTATTAATCCATCACCCGCAGGCGGTCCGGATTCAGTGCTAAGACTTAAGTTTTCATTCCGTCTTTTAAAGACTGATTGAGGTTTGTTTCACTATTTTCAAATTCAACTTTCAAATTATTGCCCAAACTCGGTCCTAGAGGGTCGGTGTCCTGAAGAGTTTGCTCCAACCCCACTTAAACACACCTGAAGCAGCTAATCAAGCTCTTATACTAGAATCTTCCTGGCAGGTGTTTTGAGGCAAGGTGGAGCTAAATTCTTTAGGACACCGGTCCTCCACGGCCAAGTTTGGGTACCCTTGATGTAAAGACACCCAAATTCCACTTGAGAAGCACTTCTGTGCCACCTTTGCAGTGTAAATGTGAAAAAAATGTAAAAATAAAATTAACTAAATAATTTGTATAAATAAGTAAATAAATTTAAATTTAAATATAGATTAGAATTTGTGGAATGTAAAAAGATCGAAAAAGATCTGAGAATGACCTGTATGTGCACTTACACTATCTGTACACTAGAGAGAAGCATTGTGTTATTCACTATATTATATGATCTCCACATGCATCCAGCGTGTGAATGTCAAACTTTCCTAAACACTCCAATCCAAAGATCACGTTTATAATCCAGATTATAGTTGGTTATGCAGAGTTACTGCAGTCATTTAAAAACCGGCGCATGTCTGAGGCGATTAGATGTTTCATGTGACTGTAGTTTAGTTTGGGCTTTGCTCAGGCCTTAATTAGAACTGCACACATTTCAATAAACCAAATCCAAAACCATCAGATAAATTAGTCCACATACTTTATTGTGCCAAGACTTTGGAAGTAGGCCTGTACTTTACCTGGGCAACATGGACCATGACGTTGTCTACTGTATTCAATCGCCGCAGCTGATCAAGCACGATGGAGATCACTTGTCGCCCAATATAATAGATTGTGTAGTTGTCTATAGCTCTGCATCATGCTTGAAAAATTGGTCTCTATTTGCACTTTGAATATAGAGAGAGCACTTATTGTTCGCACTTAATACGACTAAGAACTGTTGTTTATTTTTATGAGTTTTTATTTCCATGTTCAGTTTGTGAAAAGGAGTTCAGTTAGGAGGTCAAACGTTCTAGATGCTCATAATTCATGTACAGTACTAAGGTCTGAAGAGACTCACATGAAACCATACAGGAGAGAAGCCAGTCAGTTGAGCAAAACCTTTTACAGTGCTTGAGTGTGGTTTTTACTGCATATGATAATTCATACTCAGAAAGTAGAACTGAAATGAAATTTATTACAAGATGATTAAATTAATTTTTCCAGTCATGTATTTGGTCATTAAGAATTTTTAAAAAAATGTGTAAAAATATTGTGTCTTGAGTTAAGTGTCGGTATTAATGATAATCAAACAACAAAAGACTCTTGACAGAATGGCATTTAGCTTTTATAAGAATTTATATAGTGTAAATTGTTCCCTACCATTACATTCACATCTATGAAGCCAATAAATAAATTACTACTAAGAAAGAACACATATTTCTTCATTGGTCTAGTCACTTGATTCTACTCTCAAAATGCACCAGATTTATGCATTTTAATTTAAAATGAACAAAATTTTCACGGTCTCACAAAATCCTGTGGGGACACTGGGAATGTAGAGGAAACACTGTAGGATTGGCTGTCTCAATGTGTGTGTGTATGCCAGTTCACCTTACTATTTGCGTGTGGACCATGTATGGCATTAAATACATTTCTCCAGTAAAGCATAATGATTAAGGGGGCCTCACACAAAGAGCAGCCTAGGGGCCCCTGACCACCTTAAATGATGATGCTTTAAACATGCTTGGCTTAGACGTTTCCAATCTATTAATCCATCACCCGCAGGCGGTCCGGATTCAGTGCTAAGACTTAAGTTTTCATTCCGTCTTTTAAAGACTGATTGAGGTTTGTTTCACTATTTTCAAATTCAACTTTCAAATTATTGCCCAAACTCGGTCCTAGAGGGTCGGTGTCCTGAAGAGTTTGCTCCAACCCCACTTAAACACACCTGAAGCAGCTAATCAAGCTCTTATACTAGAATCTTCCTGGCAGGTGTTTTGAGGCAAGGTGGAGCTAAATTCTTTAGGACACCGGTCCTCCACGGCCAAGTTTGGGTACCCTTGATGTAAAGACACCCAAATTCCACTTGAGAAGCACTTCTGTGCCACCTTTGCAGTGTAAATGTGAAAAAAATGTAAAAATAAAATTAACTAAATAATTTGTATAAATAAGTAAATAAATTTAAATTTAAATATAGATTAGAATTTGTGGAATGTAAAAAGATCGAAAAAGATCTGAGAATGACCTGTATGTGCACTTACACTATCTGTACACTAGAGAGAAGCATTGTGTTATTCACTATATTATATGATCTCCACATGCATCCAGCGTGTGAATGTCAAACTTTCCTAAACACTCCAATCCAAAGATCACGTTTATAATCCAGATTATAGTTGGTTATGCAGAGTTACTGCAGTCATTTAAAAACCGGCGCATGTCTGAGGCGATTAGATGTTTCATGTGACTGTAGTTTAGTTTGGGCTTTGCTCAGGCCTTAATTAGAACTGCACACATTTCAATAAACCAAATCCAAAACCATCAGATAAATTAGTCCACATACTTTATTGTGCCAAGACTTTGGAAGTAGGCCTGTACTTTGGATAGTACAAACTGACAGATAATAAGGATGCAGTTTGAACCGGATATCTATGCATTGCACCCACTTTTTTATTTTTATCCTGTTCTTTTACATCATTTGATTGACACTTCAATTACCTGCTTATGCTTGCGTTTTTCAGAAAATCACTTCTGAAAGACATTAGTGGGTGGGAAAGAATTGATTAATCATGTAAACAAGTCAGAAATAGTCCAATTAATTTTCCCTCTTTATTTCCTGTTGACATGCCTCAGACTAGATGGCCTAAAGCACTTTCACTGGTGCAATGGAATGAGGAAAATGCTGTTGTTTGCTCTCACTATCAGCTTAAACGAATATTTACAGTCGTCGTTCATTCACTACCTGTTGTTTATGAAATTGTTGAAATGGGTGACCTCTTCAGCGATTGACACGAGGTTTATGACGTACGATAAGATTTACATGGTTTGGATGAGGGTGAACTTTGTTCATTCTTACAGAACAGGCTAAAAAAAACAGCTGACATGCAAATATAGCTTAAAAATGGCAATGAATATTTGTTTTTTTGGGGGATAAATTCCCAGCATTTTTCCTTTTGTTTTGCATTGTCATGAAAATAATGTCAAAATTCAAGCAAACAAGCAAACAATGTAATGATTCTAAAATTTCCCAAAATAAAATGTGACCCTGGAGCACAACAGCAGTCTTAAATTGCTGGGGTATATTTGTAGCAATAGCCAAAAATACATGTATGGTAATCAGCATATTAGAATGATTTCTGAAGATCATGTGACACTGAAGACTGGAGCAATGATGCTGAAAATTCAGCTTTGCATCACAGGAATAAATTATATTTGAACATATATTACAATAGAAAACAGTTATTTTAAATTGTAATAATATCTCACAATATTACAGCTTTTAATGTATTTTTTAAAGTTGAATAGAAAAATGCGATTTCATGCTTATTAAAGTGCATGGTAACATTGAACTCTCTCTTTACATGAAGCTCTTCATACTGCAAAGCGTTCCAAATCACTTACTGTATTTCCATTACAGCACTCCCTATACTGTATGTACAGCAGACAGCAAAGCAGCTCACTTTGTGTTGTAGTTTATGTACGTGTCTGTGTGTGAGTATTTGTCTATATTAATGTCAAACCAGCACAAAGACGCTCACCTAACTCATGTGGCAGCTCATGGCAGAGCACAGCCAGAGACGTGGCCAGACCGGACCGCCACGAGATGGAGAACGCTGCACCGATCGCCAGACCGTCCGCAAAGTTATGGATGCCGTCTCCAATGGTGATCATGTAGGGAAGTATACGCTGCTCTGAGGGAGAAGAGAAGACAACTATGAAATTCATGAAGCTTTTACTAGTGGCCTGATGGGATATTAATAACCCAACGGTCATTTGCACTAAACAACTCATTTGACTCTCTTAGATGAGTTTTAGTAATATATCATTAACTCCTAGTTGTGTGTATAATCACCTCTTTTGGGGCCAACAGGTTCCAGGAAGGACTTCTCATTTTTTTCGGCATTCACCTACAAAAAAAAAAAGAAAAAAAAAGAAAAAGAAATAAATAGCAATAATAATATTAAATTAATTAATAAATTAATTAATTCAATATTATTCATAAACTAGTAATACAAGACATCACTTAGAACCAACAAACTCACTAGATAACTACAGATATTCAGAGAATATTTAAGCACATACAATATTATTATTACAAAATTTTATTTAAATAAAGTTTTAACAATTACATATAAAATATAATAAAGTGATAATATTTCCGGTAAATTTCCTAAATTTTCAGAAAGTTTCCAAAAAAGTCCTGTAAAGTTTCCAAAAAATTCTGCAACGTTTCCAGAAATTAACGTGAAATGTTCCTCCTCTGTGCAACCTTAAACAAAATAATAATATTTTAATATTAACAATAATAATAATAATAATAATAATAACAACAACATCACAAATGCAGAAAATATTCAGAAAATATTCAAGCAAATTGTGAATGTAACCTAAATTCAATATTTAAAGAAACGCATATTCTGAGAGCACTTATGTTTTGTTACTAGCTTCAAATGTCCGAACAGGGTTATTATTGTAAACTAGAACAAAAAATGTAAACCATAAAATAATAATGAAAGTTTTTTGATTAATTATTTTAGTTACTATTACAGTTTATATATATATATATATATATATATATATATATATATATATATATATATATATATGTTCTCTCACAGCGCAGGCCGATAGGTTCTAACTAGTGCTATCAAAAGATTAATCGCGATTAATCGCATCCAAAATAAAGGTTTTTGTTTACATACTATATGTATGTGTACTGTGTTTATTTATTATGTATATACAAATACACAAATACAGTATATACAGTATTTTGAAAATATTTACTTGTATATACATTTACATATTTATATTATTATATTTTATATTATATACACATATATTTAATAAATAAACATAGCATATTTTTCTTAAATATATACATGCATGTGTTTGTATTTAAATATACATAATAAATAAACGCAGTAAACATACATATACTATGTAAACTGTTGTATGTTAACATTTTAAACGACTTTACTGTCACTTTGAATCAATCTAATGCATCCTTGCTGAATAAAAGTATTAATTTATTTTAAAACAAATGTTCAAACCCCAAAGTTCGCTGGTAAAGTGTATATACATTCAAAAGAAAAGTTTAGGGTTGTGATTTGTTCCTTTCAGATGCTTATATTTTCTATTTATTAGGCCTGGGCGATAAAACGGTATCGATATTTATCGACGGTACACCTTCTTCAATAACGATATAAAAATGTTCGATATAGCGCACGATATAGGCACCTGCTCTGAGTGAGGCAGACAGCACACACAAACACGAACACATGCTGAATTGGGTGCTGTGCCTGCCTGTGATGAATAAAATATTGAATACAGAATACTGTCAATTGTGAATAAAACAATAAATAATATAAGTTGAATTTAAAATAAACATTTGCATTTGAATGCAAAAATAGTACAATGTTAGGTGTGCGTCAGAGAGCGTCATCAGTGGAGCACGAGATACAGTGATGATGATGAAAGTGACGTTGTTGCATTTGAATGTTTTGTTAGTCTAGCCCCACGAGACGCGCAGTTGCTGCATTATTCATTTTAAAATATTAGAGAAGTATAGTAGCTCAATGCGTATAAAATGTTGAATTGGTTAAAACTGAAACCAAGCCATTCACACTGAATGCAAATTCAGCGCATTTTTTAGACGGACAAATATGACTGCTGCACTCGCGTCTCACCATGCAAAGTTACAACAGTTTAAACTTTTAGAAAACATGTCACGAATTTGTGGATGTTTATTCCTTTTCACTGCGTCTCTTATGTTTTTAAAGGCAATCTGTGTGATGGGCGATTCGGCTCTTTGGATTAAGCAATGCATAAATACATCATGCTGTTCTGTACATAATTGTTTATGCAATTTACGAAATTATATTTGATTTATAGGAGTTAATTTAGACGTAATGCACATTATTTTATAGACAGTTATTTATTTGCGTTGACAATTTAATGCGCAGCATTATTTTGCTCATTGCATTTAATGCTCTGCATTATTTTGCTCATTGTGCCTTCCTGTGGCCTCGGGAAACAAGCCAAAAGTTTCCTTAAAGGGGTCATATGATACGATATCAATTTTTCCTTTCTCTTTGGAGTGTCACAAGCTCTTGGTGCATAAAGAAGATCTGTAAAGTTGCAAAGACTAAAGCCTCAAATCCAAAGAGATATTCTTTATAAAAGTTAAGAGTCAACCACACCTACCTAAAACGTCTCGTTCTAACACGCCCCCACATGTCTACATCACTATGTAGGAAGATTTGCATAACGCCGCCCAAATGTTCACGCAAAAAAAGAAGGCGTAACTTTTATTCTCTCTGTAGTATTGTTGCTGCCGCCGCCATGTCGTGAAGGCGCTGTGTGTTTCGTTGTGAAAGCAAAACTACTTTGTTTGGCCTTCCAAAGGAGGACGATATCCGCTTCGTCGTGCCTGGAGCTGATCCGTGCTGGTCGCTGAGGAAATACATCAACTTCGCAATGTTGATTGCCGGATCGGCTTTCACCGTGGACGAAGCGGAGTCTAGCTCGGGGTCGTCACATGTGGTTGCCGCAGGCATCACAGTATGGTAAGGGACGTAACATTTCCGTCACACGCTTGAGGTATTCGGCCAATCACAACGCTGGATAGCTGGCCAATCAGAGCACACCTTGCTTTTCAGACCGATGAGCTTTGTAAAAATCGACGCGTTTCAGAAAGGCGGGGCATAATGTACAGTATGTGGAAAATAATGTGTTTTTAACCTTAATCCGCATAAACACATTTCATTACACCAAATACACAAAATAATGTTCTTTTTAGCAGCATCATATGACCCCTTTAAGACCTGTTTAATCTGCATATAAAACATTAGAAATTAGATATTAGTTTAATTTTAATTTTGTGTTTGACTGTTAAAACTAAAAAAATTTGTTGTTTGTCTCAATAAATTGGGTTAATTTAAAAATACAGTGGTTAAATTTAAAAATATTTTCTATTGCTCTTTGTTTTAAAAAAGGTTATAAAAAATGTCAATAATTATCGATACCGAACGATATGAAACATTATATCGTTGATACATTTTTTAGCTATATCGCCCAGCCCTACTATTTATACTGTGTTTACACTTTTAACTCAATTTTTTAGCCATTTCATCAGCTGGTTTGTAACAATAACAACTGCTTTGCAGCACAAAATCACCATATTATGATTACAACGAGACGCAGAGAGCCAGCAGTTGTGTGTATTGTGTTGAATGCGGGCGTTTGCTCACCGCGGGCAGCAGATGCAGCAGAGCGTCGCCCGTCAGAGATCCCACAGCCAGACTGATGCAGAACTGGATGCAGAGCTCGAACACTTGTGTGCACGCGGAGAACAGCAGCACCACGATCCCAAACATGGCCATCAGACAGATGATGAGGTTGGCCAGCGTGGCGTATCCATATCCTGCACACAAAGAGCTCATTCAGTGACTGAACACACACAACAACACATCCTTCCAGCCGGATGAAGGACAGCATTGTGCTTGAGTTACTCTCTTCTCCTCAAGGACTCATTCACACTGAGCTTCAGAAACAGTTACGGGTAATCCAAGCAGAATCAGGTTTGTTACGAGAAAATGGTTTACGAGTTTGAATGTGTTTTTTTTTCTTTTTTCTTTTGTGCAAACAATAAAAATACACATTGCCTTTTTAAATATAATATATATTTACAAATAAACACAATTCACTCAAAAAAGTCACTTTTATTTATTTATTTTTTGTACTTTTTTAGCAGTATTTTAGCAATAAAATCAGTATTTTTCTTTCATTGAGATTAAATTACGTGAAATCATATAATGTGTATATGGGTGAATTTCTAAATGAAATATGTCTGTCATTTAAAACAAACAAACAAAAAGATATGCATCTTGTGTAAAAAATAACTATATTTTAAGAGCGGATTTTAAGAGTTTTTAAACTTTGTTCATTAAAAAAAGGACATTTCCCCGCACTTCACTGCCATAATACAGCAATGAAAATCATCCGTTCATTACTTGAAATAAAATAAACATTAAATGAAATAATGATGAATAAATAAATGCAATAATAAATCATATTTAAAAAAAATTCTCCAAACTTTCATTTTCTCATTTTCATTTAGTTAACTTGATGTGCTAAAATAGCTACAACTGAAATAAAATGAATAAAAACTATAAAAGCATATTAAAAAACATAAGAAATAACAAATATATATATAAAAAAAAAATTTTTTTTTTATAAAACTACAATAATATCTCAAACAACAAACTGATGCATACTATTTTTTTAATAAAATATTATTAATAAAATTATTAAACAATTTCATTCTCAATAATATTTGTATTATTAACATTATTAATATTTTCTGTATTTTAAAGTGCCTGTATATATGTAAATATCAAATAAAACAATGTCATATCGGAAAAAAACTTTAAAATAAGTCTGATTGTCTTTAAGCAGAAGATAATTGTTTTCTTTAGATTTTTTGGGTGAGATGTAATATTTTTCATGAGATTCATCCAATCATGTTTATTAGCCATGTTTCATGGACAAGCCAATTTGCAATTTGAAAGCTTTGATTTTACAATTATATATTATTATGGTGGTTATAAATGTTTTTTTAAAGAAGAAAGTTAACATTATATCAGCTCAGTTATATATCATATCACTTAATCATATAATGATATGATATAATAATATAATTGATTATATGTCATATCAGTGAAATATATTTACAGCGTATGAACAGGTGACTCACTCTCGGCAGTGCTGAGTGAATCCGGGCTGACGGGTGCGGGACTGATCTCAGAACAGCCTCCGCTGAGGATCTGCTGAATCAGAGCAGGGCTGATCTGTGTGAACTGATCTCTGCTCAGTGATGAAGAGTTCAGCCGGTGAATCCTCAACAGGTCTCCAGCGCTGAAACAGGCCTGCGAGCGCAAACAGAATCCACACTGAGACATGCAAATGCACGAATGCATAAAACATATTTCCACATTAATATTTCATTTCACACCACAGCGGCGCCGCTGCTCTGATAATCACACGTGAAACACTTGCATTTACTCTTTGCTGAATTATTAATTCCACGCATGTCAGACGACAGGTCTTATTTAGACGCCGTGTGAGCTTAGAGAAATTGGAAATATTCATCATGATTAAAAACGAGCTGGACGTTCGTCAGCACATGCACTCTTAATTTGGCTGTGATTATGACTGGGGACAGATGAAACGCGTATGTCACAAGATCCATCAAGAGAAAGAAACATTAGCGGCCGCTGACACTTCATGTTACAGGCCCCGTAATCATTTCTCACGCAGCCACATGATTGCTCTCTTCGTCAAGTGCCACGGTTAAATGATTGGATTTCTGTGGCTTGCAAAGATTTCCCATGATGCCCCATAAAACTATAGAATGTACAGGGAAAAAGACATGTTTTTATGTTGCTGTATGGTTTAGCGAAGCACAGAATCAGGAATTAAAATTTGAATAATAGAAAGCGAAATGCAATTCAAAGAAATTCAACACAGGTCATGCATTCAGCGAAATAAAGTATCCAAAACCCTTGTCCATAAAATCAAAGTTCATTTATAGCTATAACAGTCCCTTTAATGAACAATGGTGTGAGATCAGTTATGTGTCCAGATGTGCTACTTAAAGGTTTGTTCAAATTAATGCATGATTGATTACCACAACTTGTGAGTTGATGTAAAGTTAATCATTTAATAATGCAAAAAGTAACGATACAGTAAAATAAAGATTTACTCAAAATTATATACATATTAAATTTTATTTATTTATTTTATATTTTATTACAAAATATTTTATTTGTTAACTTGCATTTCATGGGACCACCACCACTAATAATAATAATAATACGTTTTTTTCTGTATTTTGAAATGTGCTTAATTATTACATGATCTATTACCGCAAGATTTCCCAAACTAGGGTTTGAGAGTTGATGAAAAATGATTCATTTAAACTGCAAAAAGTAATATATAAAATAAAACAATAATTTTGGAAAAAAAACTATTAAAATAAAAACTCACTAAAATTATTTAAATAGAAATATTTTATTTGGTTGTATGTTAACATTTTAAACGACTTTACTGTCACTTTGAATCAATCTAATGCATCCTTGCTGAATAAAAGTATTAATTTATTTTAAAACAAATGTTCAAACCCCAAAGTTCGCTGGTAAAGTGTATATACATTCAAAAGAAAAGTTGAGGGTTGTGATTTGTTCCTTTCAGATGCTTATATTTTCTATTTATTAGGCCTGGGCGATAAAACGGTATCGATATTTATCGACGGTACACCTTCTTCAATAACGATATAAAAATGTTCGATATAGCGCACGATATAGGCACCTGCTCTGAGTGAGGCAGACAGCACACACAAACACGAACACATGCTGAATTGGGTGCTGTGCCTGCCTGTGATGAATAAAATATTGAATACAGAATACTGTCAATTGTGAATAAAACAATAAATAATATAAGTTGAATTTAAAATAAACATTTGCATTTGAATGCAAAAATAGTACAATGTTAGGTGTGCGTCAGGGAGCGTCATCAGTGGAGCACGAGATACAGTGATGATGATGAAAGTGACGTTGTTGCATTTGAATGTTTTGTTAGTCTAGCCCCACGAGACGCGCAGTTGCTGCATTATTCATTTTAAAATATTAGAGAAGTATAGTAGCTCAATGCGTATAAAATGTTGAATTGGTTAAAACTGAAACCAAGCCATTCACACTGAATGCAAATTCAGCGCATTTTTTAGACGGACAAATATGACTGCTGCACTCGCGTCTCACCATGCAAAGTTACAACAGTTTAAACTTTTAGAAAACATGTCACGAATTTGTGGATGTTTATTCCTTTTCACTGCGTCTCTTATGTTTTTAAAGGCAATCTGTGTGATGGGCGATTCGGCTCTTTGGATTAAGCAATGCATAAATACATCATGCTGTTCTGTACATAATTGTTTATGCAATTTACGAAATTATATTTGATTTATAGGAGTTAATTTAGACGTAATGCACATTATTTTATAGACAGTTATTTATTTGCGTTGACAATTTAATGCGCAGCATTATTTTGCTCATTGCATTTAATGCTCTGCATTATTTTGCTCATTGTGCCTTCCTGTGGCCTCTATATATATATATATATATATATATATATATATATATCTACATACACATTTTTTAAAAAGTGTATATATTTTAGATTTTTCTTACCTGTGTTTCATGATGTGACCATTAACTGACATCAGAGAAATGTTAACATATGAATGTGTTGTTAAATGATTAATTATTCTACGTTAAATTATTAAATCTTTAAATATATTAACTTAAAATTTCAGAGGACTTGAAGAAATTCTTGTAGGTCAAAGCGGTTCAGCTGACAAAAATGTTTGGAAATCCCAGGATTACCGTGTCCCAGCTGTTGTTGGTCTGATGGGCATCCAGATGCCTCTGCCTGTGGGTCTCTGTGCTGTGCTCGTCAGCATCATGGTCATCATGTACATGTTCCTCTCCACCCAGGTTTAAAGCCTTTAGAAGCCCCTCAAAATCTGAGGAGAATAATATTATCAAAAACCAAACATGATCACAACAGTTCCATAGATTATACCATGTATTATACTGATGCAGAATTATTGTAGGACTATCATACCATGAAGCGTGAGATTATCAGAGCCGTAATGGCTGAAGATGTAATCCAGGAAGTACTGCTGCTCAGGAAGGTGGTGTGCTTTCATGCAGTCTCCACGCAGAGCGTGATAGAGGACGTTTCCCATCACGGCATCCAGCTCTGTGTGCGTGTGATCACCGTGCTGATAGCTGCTCTCTTCCAGGATGTCCTTCAGAGTGAGACAGGGCTAAAAACAGACAAACACAAGACAGATGTGGCCATCAGCGTCAAATGTCTATCATTTGTCAGTTTGCATTGCGTCTTGAGAGGCTTGCTGTCATTCTCAATGACAAAAGTCAAGTAGCCATTAGCCTTTGCATGCTTTGCTTTACAGATAACCATGAGCATTCACTAAACAACATAGACATAACTAACCTTCCTGTTGTGTTCAAAAACTGGGTACAACTTTTGTATTTAGGGTCAAATTGACCCACGTTGGTTTAGTATGCAATTTGCCTAGATTTTTTTTTAAGTATTAAACTTCATATGTTCTCATGTATTTTATATCTTAGTCTTTGATAAGCTACAAAAAAAGCTTTTCTGTTTCTGTTTTTTAGTGCTTTTCAAAGTGTTGATATCACTGATATCATTACTAAAGGGAAACCTTTTCATTACTTGAAATAAAATAAAATAATAATAAAAAAATAGTTATTTGCCAAAAAGGCAACATTTCAAATTTTCATTTACTCCAACTTGAAGTAATAAAATCACTAAAACTGAAATAAAAATTAATAATATATAAACTAATAAAAATGACTAAACATTACATATTTTTATGTTCAAATTTAGCTGCAAAACATTTACAGATTTTTTTGTACTGTTAAACTCAACTAGATGATGAAACAAATATATATAAAGTAATAAAATAATGAATATAAAAATAATGAAATAAAAAGTAATAATATATATACTAATAATAATATATATGACCTAAACACACAGCAAAATGACTAAATATTACATATTTTATGTTCAAAATTATCTGCAAAAGTTACAGATTTTTTTTGTATACTGTTGAACTCAACTAGAGGATGAAACAGTGAATTTCCCTTGGATGATTCAGAAAACAAGTCTCAGTTTCGAGTAAACTTTGAGTCTTAAATTACAGAAGTTCTCATGTATTTCATATTTTAGTCTTTGACAAGCTACAAAAAAAGGTTTTCAGTTTTTTAGTGTCTTTAGTGTTCTTTCAAAGTGTTCATATCATTAAAGCTAAAGCATTAAAAAATTAGTTAAAATAAAAAAAGAAAATATAAAAGCTACAATAATGGTTTTCTGTTTTTAGTGTCTTTCAAAAATGTTGATATAATTAACTAAAACTAAAACAATTTTAAAAAATCAGTTACTTGAAATAAAAGAAAAAAAGAATCAAATCTAAACAAATCAGTCAGTTGCCAATAAAGTCAACATTTTGAATTTTCATTTAGTTTAAGAACTAAAATAGCTAAAACTATATATAAATATAGTTAAATACATCACATATTTTTATGTTTCAAATTAGCTGCACAGATACAAAACTGACAGATCTTCAGGGTTTCAAAACTGAAACAGTGAATTTTTCTTGGATGATTCAGAAGACGAGTCTCGGTTACGAGTAAACTTTGAGTCTCACATTTCATATCGGTTCTCATGTATTTCACCTTTCAGTTTTTGACAAGCTACAATAAAGGTTTTCAGTTTTTTGTGTCTTTAGTGTTTTTCAAAGTGTTGAATCTTGTGTTGAAACTACATATACACATTTGTGACCTTAAATGAGGAAAAAAGTCATCAAATTTCAAGAAGAAATAAATAGTTGAACAGCATTTCAAGCAGTTTGTAAATCAGGTGTGGGTCTAATTATCCCCAACACTAGGAGAAGGATAACAAAATAAAATTTCATCCTGAAAACTAGTTATTGGTGCTGACCTCATGTGTGTCAGGCTGATAGTATTTCTCCATCTCGAGAAACATCTTCTCCAAACCCTCAAATTCACTGATGTCTCCATGAGGAGGATGATCGGTGGTGCTATTGTGGTCGTGGTCGTGGCCATAGATCGTTTCGATGAAGTGATGGGTCTCTTCGCCCCAGCGGCCCTCCTGTATGGCCCCGCAGGTCTCCAGCGGAGCGCTGAGGAACAAGCAGCATGCAGGAGCCACGGTGAAGAAATCCTCCATCTGAAGCCCCTGAGAGCTGCTGTAGTTACTCAACAGCTGCGAGAGATGATCCACTGAAAGACACTACATGCAGAAGAGAGAAAGGCCGAGCGGTCCGTGGTGAAATAATGACGGAATCTGAGATGAAAGACTATTGTTTTTAAAGCAACTGTTTTGTATTTACATCAAGAAAATACAGACAAAACCATAATTTTTTCATGTACTGGTCAATGTCAGGCTATTTTGCTATTTCAGACTAGTGAAAAGAAATGGTCCAAAATACACAATTAAGTGTTTATTACAGTTTATCCATTTGCATCTGTACACTGTAAAAAAAATTCCGTAAAATTTACGGTAAAAAAACGGTAGCTGTAGTTGCCGGAATTTTACCGTAAAAAATACGGTAGCAACATTTTAGGTTTTAATGTTAATATACCAACCTATTGAAGTACGGAAATCTGTTTTGTAACTTTGTAATACACTGATAACCACCAAATGCAGGTGGTGATGAGAAAGTCACATGATGAACCAAAGCCCATCACAAGCAGCTTTTAGATAATAACATATATAGAAGGTGCACAGTGTCATTCACACAGACACTAAACACCATCATGGTGACACACATCAAACTGAAAAAATGCAATAAAATTAGATGTAACACACAACCCTAATATACAAAACTGATAAGAAAAACTAAGAAGAAACCGTTATTTCAGCAAAAAAAACATAACATTTGAAATGTAATGCAGGGAATTCTGGGAATGTCAATTTACGGTCATTCACTGTAATTTATACGGTCTTTTTCACTTCCAAAAACAGTATACTACCGTAAAATTACATGTAATGTCCAATACAGTTTTTCACCGTATATAGTAGGGGAATTTACCATTAACCATTTAACAGGTTTTTACTGTAGCATTTTTACAGTCATCAAACTGAAAAAATGCAATAAAATTAGATGTAACACACAACCCTAATATACAAAACTGATAAGAAAAACTAAGAAGAAACCATTATTTCAGCAAAAAAAACATAAAATTTGAAATGTAATGCAGGGAATTCTGGGAATGTCAATTTACGGTCATTCACTGTAATTTATACGGTCTTTTTCACTTCCAAAAACAGTATACTACCGTAAAATTACATGTAATGTCCAATACAGTTTTTCACCATATATAGTAGGGGAATTTATGAGAAGGGTATAGCTGCAGACCGGAGATCTCCAAAACGGGGTGGGAGCTCCAAAATAGGGCGTGCCTTCCTCTCATTGACAGACAGGCACATGACACGCATACGCAATTTTTTCCCCCAATCCACTTCAGTGCAAACTCCGCCCCACAGCTGATTCTAAAGATTTCATTGGTTGTGTCAATTAAAGTGTTGATTTCCTACATTATGCTACAAAAAATGCTAACCCCTAAACCTACCCCACACCTGACCCTAACCTTAACCAGTGAAATTGACTGCAAGGCGGGATTGGCGCTGAATAGCTGGTAAAGAAAGATGCAGTTCAGGAGATAAACAGTTAAAAGATTATGAGATTGTTTCGTAACTCCCCAACCGGACCTCACCTGACAATGGCACCTTTTTAGTTACACCCAGCATCACTACCCCCTCCTCCCCTGCGCATTTCGAGCCCCGGGACGCCCCCGTTGCTTAAAACAAAGCGATAGAGTAAAATATTTGTGCTGCTCCAGTCCAAACACCACTGGCCACGAGCTTTGGGCTCTGCTCTCACAGAGAATATTTATTTATATAGCACATTTTATTTGAGATCAACTAGAAAAAATGTTTAACTTATAAAGTTTTATTTTGAAATGTAAGTCAATAACAATCGGCTGAAGCCACAGCCAATGGTGAAAGTCTTTGCTCGAGGAGACCCCGCCCCATTTTGGAGGTTCTGCCCACTTTTGGAGTTCACGCCGCATTTTGGAGATCTCCGGTCTGCAGTTATACCTACTTGGAATTTATCGTTAACCATTTAACAGGGTTTTATTGTAGCATTTTTACAGTCTTTTACCGTTAAATTCATGGTCATTTTTTACAGTGATTACAATACATATTTTTAAAGGCCGTACGTTTTCACTTATTTTCCAGAAATCTCCACTTCAGTATCACTTAAAATGTAAAAAAATACATATATTTTTCAAAGTAAAAAAAAAAAGGAATGTTTCATAAGAAACTTTTTAAATCTATATTCTATCCATATTCTGAAGGTTTTACAGAGGGGTTTGTTCATATATAATTCGCCTGAGATATATATATATACAGTGGGTACGGAAAGTATTCAGACCCCCTTAAAATTTTCACTCTTTGTTATATTGCAGCCATTTGCTAAAATCATTTAAGTAAATTTTTTTTTCCTCATTAATGTACACACAGCACCCCATATTGACAGAAAAACACAGAATTGTTGACATTTTTGCAGATTTATTAAAAAAGAAAAACTGAAATATCACATGGTCCTAAGTATTCAGACCCTTTGCTGTGACACTCATATATTTAACTCAGGTGCTGTCCATTTCTTCTGATCATCCTTGAGATGGTTCTACACCTTCATTTGAGTCCAGCTGTGTTTGATTATACAGATTGGACTTGATTAGGAAAGCCACACACCTGTCTATATAAGACCTTACAGCTCACAGTGCATGTCAGAGCAATTGAGAATCATGAGGTCAAAGGAACTGCCTGAAGAGCTCAGAGACAGAATGGTGGCAAGGCACAGGTCTGGCCAAGGTTACAAAAAAAATTCTGCTGCACTTAAGGTTCCTAAGAGCACAGTGGCCTCCATAATCCTTAAATGGAAGACGTTTGGGACGACCAGAACCCTTCCTAGAGCTGGCCATCCGGCCAAACTGAGCTATCGGGGGAGAAGAGCCTTGGATCACTGTGGCTGAGCTCCAGAGATGCAGTCGGGAGATGGGAGAAAGTTGTAGAAAGTCAACCATCACTGCAGCCCTCCACCAGTCGGGGCTTTATGGCAGAGTGGCCCGACGGAAGCCTCTCCTCAGTGCAAGACACATGAAAAAACACCTGAAGGACTCCAAGATGGTGAGAAATAAGATTATCTGGTCTGATGAGACCAAGATAGAACTTTTTGGCCTTAATTCTAAGCGGCATGTGTGGAGAAAACCAGGCACTGCTCATCACCTGTCCAATACAGTCCCAACAGTGAAGCATGGTGGTGGCAGCATCATGCTGTGGGGGTGTTTTTCAGCTGCAGGGACAGGACGACTGGTTGCCATAATGTTTGTAATATGATGAAACAAAATGTTCTAAAAACATTTAAAAAATATATTTTTTTTTCTTCCCGAAATGTTTATTTTTTTACGTTCATCTAATGTTTTTTAAATGCTACTACTTATTTTAGAACATCCAGAGAACATTCAAAAGTAACTTTCCATGTTTGTAAAAAATGAAATGGAGTGTTACCTTAACGTTTGTGTAACCAACAACAACAACAACAACACGTGTTTAAAACATGTTAAAACGTTTTACTTTTTTTATTTTTTTAATTACGGACGTTTTGAACGGTTAGAGAGCATTCGAAAATAATGTTTTCATAATCTAGTGGTTAAAGAAACATTCCTAGGACTTAATTTTGATATCTGTGAAATACAGATAAATGCCACAGGTCCGCCTTGTGACAACATGCCCCAATGCCTGCTAAATGCAGAATGGACTGAATCTTTTATACTGGAAAAAATAATTTGCCCCACCACAGGACTACTTAAAATGAAGGTCGAAAGGAGATTAAAGGTGATTAAAATTACGCAAAGACATCGTGACCGGTTACAAAACGCATCGTTTCAACAATTAATCAGTTCAGCACAAGTAACGAAGTTCATGAACGTTTTGCATGTCAACTGCTTATATAAAAGAAGCACTTTGACGGCACCGATTTTTTATTTCTCTTCTTATGCGTGATTTTTTTCTCTCCAACCGTCCTTAACTTATATTTGTAGCCTATATAAGACAGTTTACTTGTATATCATTATGTTTTAAGACACAATACGCGCCAATTCTTCAGTCAGAGTCTCTCAGTTGTAGCGCACGAGCCTTCGCTGGACCTCGACCTCTCCAAAAGCCCGCAAATATATCCTACCTTTCCACACGACACACCGGAGCACTGCACACGGTTCTCCAGCCGTTCAAACACCGAGAGAAGCGCATCTTCTGTGAGGAACTCTTCACCTGGAGCCACCAAATCCACAACTCTCGCGTAAATGTCCTTTTTGTCGCCACGCGCGCCGATAAACGCGCACTGGCAGACGAAACACAGAACTAGAACACCTCTAGCCTCCATAACCGCTGTGTTTTATCCCGTTTTTCGGTATTCAGAGGGGTTTTCAGGTGAGATAGGTCCGATAGACTGCATGCAGACACACAGCAGCTTTAAAGAGCCTCACACTGGTGATACCTGCTCAGGTAGAAGCTCTTCTTGCCCTCTGATTGGTCACTTCTCCACCTGCACTCAAATACGTCTCATAAAGGAGGGAAGCCTCTTCCGTTCACCTGCACTGAGGGGTCCGGACAGGGGCTGCCAGCTCTGGAGATCACATTTCAGGACTTTTCAACACTTGCCCTCTAGAAATAATGCCAAACATGTGATATTTAACACACAAAAAATGACAAAAAAGAGCTGCAGCCTATTGAAATGCTGCACACCAATACATCTCCTCTCAGAATGGGCCTAATTTCAGGTCTGAGTGAAGCGTTCACTGAATGGAGGAGCTCAAATAGGCACGATTGAGACACAATTCAACTACTGGTATTAAATATTACATTTTGGCTTTCAGAAAAAGTTTGCATACATATAAGGCTGGATGGTAACATAGTATAACACAGAGCTGTTTGTACATCAAGATACAAATCAAGACCAAAAAAATGATTCGTTTTAAATGATTAGTGCCATATTTGTTGTGGTTATTTTACACAATACAGATTCCTATTGTGACAACTTGCCCCAGACAGTGACAATATGCCCTCCACAGATGAATTGTACTGTATGCACTTTACTGGGCAACAATTCTGGTAATATCCAGAAAATCTTTAAAGTATTTAAGGTTTGTTTCTACACAGAAATTGGCTTTAAAATCTGTCTGGATAAGCAGCATTTGTAGTCATAAAAAGCTGATAAATACGAACCTGTGACCTCACATTCTATATTAATGCAACAAGTTATGTTTCTGGGCAACAGTAAACAAACACAATTATGATGAACTGTAATGCTGAGAAAAATATTTATTCTGATTATTGTTATTATATAGCTATTGCATCACTGTGCAATTTTTGCAAACTGTGGTTTTAAGAAGGTATAAAGTACAACAGTGATATTATAGATTTAACCGCACTGACACTATTCAATGAGAAAAAAATTCGAATTGAATTCTAACTTTGTAACATCAACACTGTTACTGAATTGAATCAACATTCAACTGAATTGAGCTGAATTTTAAATCTGTAGGGCTGATTTACAGCTGAATTTTTTATATGATAAATTTGACAAAATGAAAACTGATATTTTCCTTTTTAGCTTTGAAGCTGCTTTGAAACAATTTGTATTGTACAAAGCACTGTAGAAATAAATGTGACTTGGCTTCAACATGGTAAAATCACTGTAATGCACAGACTCTTGTGCTTTATTGCATTATTTGTTGCAATTAAACTTTTTCCTGTACACTCTCAGAAAATGTACAAAAGGGGCAATACCTTTATATCTTTGTAAGCGATTTGCCCCTAAATGTGCATAATAGTACCTAAAGTGTACATTTTAGTACCTTTTAAAAGGTTACCAACCCAGAACTGAATTCAACTTGCGTAATTAAACATGCAACATAATGACAAACAAAACATTTAACCCAACCGCTGGGTCAAAACAGCCCAATTGCTGGGTTTGTTCCTATTTTACCCAGCACTGGCTTGTATTTAACCCAGCATATTTTAGAGTGTATAGTCAATATACTGCTTAAAGCATTTATTTTACGATTTACATATAAATATTTGAACAGTACTCTAAGGATACAGTATATATGGTTATTGCACAATATGCCATAAGCTGTACAAAAGTAATCCATAGCAAAACGTCTGTTTCTTTTGTGAACTTTGCCGTTTTATTCTGATCTGGGTTCAGATCCACCTGCCCAAAAACCTGATCCTAGCCTTCATGGGAATAACCATGAAAAGAAAATCTCAGATCTACATGACAGTCTCAATCGGAGCAGCTTTCAGAGTTTGAGGTGTTAGGAGGACAAGTGAGGATGAGGCCTGTTTATGCAGCAAACATGGAGTGTCTGAAGATCTGAGCGGGGCGGATATGTCGAAAGGAAGTGAAAAGTCACCAGCCAATCAAAGGGGATGTCGTTTGCACATCACTGAATGGAATGAGGTCAGTTAAGCAGCTGAGAGCTTTATGACATGTACCTAATAAAGATGAGGAAGAGGAGGATGAGCTGAGCTTTGATCTCAACAAAGTGAGCGACTCAAAAAAACTCCATGTTCTTCATGCCAGAGCTTGCTCTTTGAGGAGACTTAATGGAGTTATTTTAGTATCAGCGTGGTCTCTGTTGTTTTAAAATTCTAAGAACATCAGAGAATTCTTCTAAAATTCTAAAATGTTGTAATATTCAGAAATATATCTGTCATGCAGTAAGAGTATCACTCTAAAAATAATTTTTTGTAGTTGCAAAAAACAGATTACTGGAATTAATGTTTCAAGAAAATACTGAAACCTTCTACTTCAAAATGTCATGTTTTATTCACTGTTACATGCAGTTTCTTTGTAATAATTAGTGAATTTTACTAGCAATGAAAATCATTTCAAAGTAAACCCTACACCATTTTTCCCCCCAATGTAGAGATATAAAATTCATCAAATGAATTCGGCGTTGGGAGAACTTGATGAGAAATATTTGAGTTCATATTGAGATTTCTAATACTGTTAAAATCTCTTGTAAAACTCCAGAAGAGACACATGTGAGTCTAGGAGAAACAAGAGAGCTATTAAAGAGATCTCATTTGTGATTTGTGTGTCACACCTGTGTGATGTACCTGTTGATGCTTCAGGATCTTCAGGTGGGCTGTGTGAAGCTTTATGGTCTAGTCTTATTTACCCTGAAAAGAAAAAATGCACTAGCATCTTACGATCTTAATCTTTATGTGAAGCTCAGAAAATACTAGAGGAGTGTCTTTAACAATTAATATCACAGCTGTCATACAATCATGTTTGATTTGACAGATTTGGCCAGAGGAGGGCGACCTTGTCCCTTCTAATGCAGGAACTAAACAGCTGAAGTTCATCTGAGAGGGATCTGCAAAGACAATTTTGGAGACTGTAAAGAGAATTTAGTATGAGTAGATAACACATTTTACTTTTTGCTCACGGCTAGTGTATCCTTTCTGAACAGCAGGGGTTGTCAACATTATTACATTACTCTACACTAGTTTCCTTGTCTCTCAATTAACACACTTACCTTTACATCATCGTCAGTGCAGCACTTTACTGTGTGAAAATGAACAGATTTTCATTTTTAAATGATAGTTTTTTTTTGCTTGTCAGAATCATGCCAAAATGAAATAAGATGTGATTTCTTTCAATTGTACATTTCAAAGGTGAAATGTGTACTTCCTGCACCATTAGAATCAACAAATATTTTAAGTGATTTTTAAGTGAAGTGACATGTGGCCAAGTATGGTGACCCATACTTGGAATTAGTGCTCTGCATTTAACCCATCCAAAGTGCACACACACAGCAGTGAACACACACACACCGTGAACACACACCCGGGCTGCGGCGCCCGGGGAGCAGTTGGGGGTTCGGTGCCTTGCTCAAGGGCACCTCAGTCTTCCCTGAACCCACGATTCCCCCATGTGTCAAGAAATTCACACATGCATTTTCTTTTTGCATGCATTTGTTTTTTATTTTTCATGGATGCATTCATTTTTGCATGCATGAATGAATTTGTAAATAGTATATCCTTTTGCATGTAAAAAAATTCAAATAAATATTAACGAGTGATTCACATTTAAAGTTACTGAACAAATATACCTTTCTCCTATATATGCATATATACTTAAGCCTAAAATGAACCAATTCATGGATGCAATAATTTGTAAAAGTTTATTTGCATGTAAAAAGACTTTTTAATGAGTGATTCAACTTTAAAGTTATAAAACAAGAACACGTTCTCTGATACATGCATATAAACTTTAGCCTAAAATAAACCAGCATAAACTTATTTATATAAATGCATTAATGTCTACATGCATGATTTTTTTCAAGAAACAGATTTTTAATTTTGCATGTAAAAAGACTATTTAATGGGTGATTCACTTAAGTACTAGAACAAATACACTTTTTCTGATACATGCATGTAAACTTTAGTCCAAAACCTTGTCTCTCAATTAACACACTTACCTTTACATCATCGTCAGTGCAGCACTTTACTGTGTGAAAATGAACAGATTTTCATTTTTAAATGATAGTTTTTTTTTGCTTGTCAGAATCATGCCAAAATGAAATAAGATGTGATTTCTTTCAATTGTACATTTCAAAGGTGAAATGTGTACTTCCTGCACCATTAGAATCAACAAATATTTTAAGTGATTTTTAAGTGAAGTGACATGTGGCCAAGTATGGTGACCCATACTTGGAATTAGTGCTCTGCATTTAACCCATCCAAAGTGCACACACACAGCAGTGAACACACACACACCGTGAACACACACCCGGGCTGCGGCGCCCGGGGAGCAGTTGGGGGTTCGGTGCCTTGCTCAAGGGCACCTCAGTCTTCCCTGAACCCACGATTCCCCCATGTGTCAAGAAATTCACACATGCATTTTCTTTTTGCATGCATTTGTTTTTTATTTTTCATGGATGCATTCATTTTTGCATGCATGAATGAATTTGTAAATAGTATATCCTTTTGCATGTAAAAAAATTCAAATAAATATTAACGAGTGATTCACATTTAAAGTTACTGAACAAATATACCTTTCTCCTATATATGCATATATACTTAAGCCTAAAATGAACCAATTCATGGATGCAATAATTTGTAAAAGTTTATTTGCATGTAAAAAGACTTTTTAATGAGTGATTCAACTTTAAAGTTATAAAACAAGAACACGTTCTCTGATACATGCATATAAACTTTAGCCTAAAATAAACCAGCATAAACTTATTTATATAAATGCATTAATGTCTACATGCATGATTTTTTTCAAGAAACAGATTTTTAATTTTGCATGTAAAAAGACTATTTAATGGGTGATTCACTTAAGTACTAGAACAAATACACTTTTTCTGATACATGCATGTAAACTTTAGTCCAAAATAGACTCACATAAACCATCTATCTATACAAATGCAGTGATGCATGCATTTTTAAAATAAAAGTTCCTTTT